CCCTGTATAGGGTTTCCGAGGAGCATCTGGTGGGTTTGAATCACCGACCTTGTGGCTCAAACTGACTTTGAGGTCCAGTACTTATCCTAGAGCACCACACTGGGACTCTAAAATAATTCTATGTGGAATTAAAAGATAATGTAAAATTTCCACAAACTTTTTAAACCTGCTTGTATTGTATAGCGATTCCTTGAAACTTTTCATGTATTCATCAATTAGCATGAAAAAACTGTGATCATTGCTAATGAATGCCTGTTGTTTGTTAAGTGCCATTGAGTTGGTTCTGACACACAACAATCCTATGCACAACAGAAAAAAAAAACACTGTCCTGCCCCACACCATCCTCACAATTGTTATGCTTGAGTCCATTGTTGCTGCCACTTTGCCAATCCATCTTCTTGGGGGTCTTCCTCTTTTCACTGACATTCCACTTTACCAAGCATCCTTTTCCAGGGATTGGTCCATCCACAATTCCACATCCTCTTCTGAAACTGACTTGAATTTCTGGAAGTCGTTTTTGAAATATCTTCACAAAAATTATACCTGAATATGATATTAATGATATTTTTTCGATGATGTCTGCATTATGTTGGGTCACCTCTCTTCAATAACTGGAGCTTTGCATGTCACCAACGGCTTCAGCACAGCTTAGATTTTTACCTTTAATACCATTGGTTCTTGCTTATATGCTACCTCTTGAAATAGTTGAATATTGACCATTTCTTTTTAGCATAGTGAATAGTGTATACCTTATATCTTCAATTTTTCATTACTCAATTTTTTGCCCATTTGTTATTGCTGTTGCTGTTCGGTGCTGTCACATCAGCTCCGACACATAGTGACCTTATACACAATCATTGCTACACTTGAGTGATTACTGGTGCCTCTGTGCCAATCCATCTCATTGGGGTCTTCCTCTTTTTCACTAACCCTTCACTGTACCAAGCATGGTATTGTTCTCCAGGGATTGGTCCCTCCTAATAATGTGTCCAAAGTATGAAACGTAAAGTCTGGCCATCTTGGCTTCTAAGGAGCATTCTGGTTGTACTTCTTCGAAAACAGATTTGTGTTCTGGCAGTCACGGTACTTTCAATAGTCTTCTCCAACACCATAACTCAAATGCATTAAGTCTTATATGCTCTTCCTTATCCATTGTCCAACTTTCACATGCATATGAGACTATTTGAAAATAGCATAACTTGGGTTAGGCACACCTTATTCCTCAAACTGACATCTTTGCTCTTGAACATTTTATTTAAAGAGGTCTTGCACAGCAGATTTGCCTAATGCAATATATCATTTGATTTTTTGACTGCTGCTTCTATGAGTGTTGATAGTAGATTGGAGCAAAATGAAGTCTTTGATAGCTTCAACCCTTTCTCCATTTATCATGTTATTTATTGGCCCAGTGGTGAGGAGTTTTATTTTATTTACATTGAGGAGCAACCTTTACTGAAGGCTGTGGTATTTGATCTTCATCAGTGAATATTTTAAGTTCTCTTCTCTTCAGCAAGCAAGGTGATATCATCTGCATACTGCAAGTGGTTAATGAGCCTACCTCCAATCCTGATGCCATGTTCTTCATATAATGCAGCTTCAGATTATTTGTTCAGTATACAGATTGAAAAAGTATGGTGAAAGAATACAACCCTGGTGCACATCTTTCCTGATTTTAAACCAATGTCTCTTTGTTCTGTTCAAATGACTGCCTCTTGGTGTATGTACAGCTTACTAATGAGCAAAATTAAGTGTTCCAGGATACTCATTCTCCACAATGTTGTCCATAGCTTGTCGTGATCCACACAGTCTACAGCCTTTCTGTAGTTAGTAAAGCAAAGGTAAACATCCTTCTGGTATTCTCTGCTTTCAGGAGAGATCCATCTGTTGTCAACAATAATTTCCCTCATTCCACATCCTCATCCGAATCCAGCTTGAAACTCTGGCAATGCCCTGTAAATGTTCTGTTGAAGCCATTTTTAAATTACTTTTATAAAAATATTATTTGCTTGTGATATTAATGATTTTGTACAATGATTTCCACATTCTATTCAGTCACATCTCTTTGGAATCGTCACAAATATAGATCTCTTCCAATCAATTGGCCAGGTAACTTTCTTCCAAATTTCTTGGCATAGATAAGTGAGTGCCTCCAGTGCTGCATCAGTTCATTGAAAGCTTTCAATTTGTACTCCATCAATTCCTGAAGCCTTGTTCTTTGCCTATGCCTTCAATGCACCTTGGACATCTTCCTTCAATATCATTGGCTCAAGATAGTATGCTACCTCTTGAAATGGATGAACATCAAGCTTTTTTTTTTTTTTTTTGGTACAGTGACTCTATGTATTCCTTTCATCTTCATTTTATGCTTTCTGCATCATTCAGTATTTTGCCCATGGAATCCTCCAGTATTTCAAGTTGAGACTTGAATTGTTTCCTCTGTTGTTTCTGCTTCAGAAATGCTGAGCATGTTTTTCCCTTTTTGTTTTCTAACTCCAGGTCTTTGCAAATTTCATTATAATATTTGACTTTGTCTTCTCAAGCCACCCTTTAAAATTTTCTGCACAGCTCTTTTACCTCCTCATTTCTTCCATTTGTTTTAGCATTGCTAAACCGGAGAACAAATTTCAGAATCTCTATTGACATTAATTTTGGTCTTTTCCTTCTTTCTTCTCTCTTAATTGTGCCCATAGACTCCTTCACTATTGCAAGTCAAGGCTTGAGTTTATTCTTCAGTACTTTTAACTTGCAAAATGCTGATTGTGTTATTTCCTTTTAGTTTTCTAACTGCAGGTCTTTGCACATTTCATTATAATATTTGAGTTTGTCTTCTCAACCTGCCCTTTAATTTTTTCTGTTCTGATCTCTTACTTCCTTGCATCTTACATTCCCTGTACTATCTGTATACTGAATAAGGAGCTTCAGAAGAGAGCTTCTTCTGAATACTCTAACTACCCTTTTTTTTTTCTTTCCTGTCTATTTAGTGACCTTTTGCTTCCTTCCTGTGTGATGCTCATGATGTCATCTCACAGTTCTTCTGAGCTTCAGTCATTAGTGTCTAACACTAAGGTGGGATATGTTAAAAGTCATATTTTGGCTCTCATGGACTTATTTCTATTTATTACTAATTATGCTTTTTTTGGGGGTATCAAAAGCCTATTTAATTTACAAGGTTCTAGATCAATTTTATTCTGAAAAGAGAAGCTTCAGGAAGTACCTATGGAAATTACAAATTTATCAGGTGACATCAAGGACTCAGTACTGATTAGAGGAAGATAGTTAATTATAAAAAGAATGTCTGGTAACAGATTAACTAAATAAAACACATACAGTATCAGTTCCTGAGTGGTACAATATCTATCAGAAAGTAAAGTTCACACTAAAGAGCAACTGCAGCCATTTGAATGAAATCTTTGTACAGAACACATTTCTTAAGACTTGGAAAGGTATGTGATTTACAATCAGTAGATTGGGATTGAATGTTCAGTTCTCAAAAATACCATGTTTCTGATTTAAGAGGAAAAAGAAATCAATAAATTAATACCTCAGTGCAGCTGACACAGCTAAATGAACTCAGTAAGCTGGAGTCAACTTGAGGAACCTGAATAGCAAGTATATTTTTATGGAACTGGTGAATTTCTTTCAAGGTGATCATTGTAGGATCTGAGGAGATTGAGATAGAGAAGTTTGTGGTACGTAATATTGCGTAACAGAATTACAACTTGTAATAAAAACTAACAACTATACAAAATTAAAACATCTTATTTCTGAACATGAAACTTGAACGTGTTTAGTAATTGGTTAGTAGCAAAGTCTTATCAATTTATTTAAAATTAATGATAGCCTTATACTGCTATAAAGGGTTTATGCTCTATCTAAAAGGTTAACTACACTTTATAAGTGGTAGAAACAAAATAAACCTCCTAATATTCGCCTGCCTCCTAACTGAGTTGAAAATGTATTGGTTATTACTTTCTTTCTTAAAGAGTAAACACTTTATAATGATGTGTCATGGAGATGGTTTATTAATTACTTTATAATAGAAATTATAAATAGTTTACATTTTCATCAAAATATTGCCTGGCTGTAAAAAAATAGAAAAAAAAAAAATTGTAAACAGAAACAGAAGACTTCTTTAACATAAGTCATGTTACATAGAAGAAAAACATTCAGGAAATAGGGAAAGATGATTTTTTGCAGATGTCACTTTTGTATTAATGGAGTTCAGTGTGTTCATTGTTACAAAGACAGTAGGGTGCTTCTTCCACTGTTCTGTTCCTACTTCTTTTTCAAAAATGAATAATCTTCAAATACTGCTGCTCACCAACTCACCACCCACAGGAATGAGTTAACATATTACTCCTTTAAAAAAAAAAAAAGGCTTTCTATTATCTTCATGTTTCCATAAGAAACAATTTTCCTTATTTTCCTGCAGTTACTGCTTCTTCCTCTCCACTTTTAAATCTGTATGTAAGTTCTATGTATATGAACTACTAATATTATTTCAATCTTACCTTCTGTCACTGGGCTATCTCCACTCTTCTATGTTTTAGTCACTATAAACATTGTTGCTGCAGTTATGTGCTGTCAAGATAGTTCTAACTTATAGTGACCCTATATAGTGTTTCCTAGGAGCAGCTGATGGGTTTGAACCACTGACCTTTTTGTTAGCAGTCTAATGTGATATGGTGGTGGTGGTGGTATGCTGTGGAGTCAGCGCTGACTCATAGCCACCCTGCACAGGGTTTCCGGGGCTGTAAATCTTTACAGGAGCAGAAAGCGCCATCTTTCTCCCTTGGAACAGCTGGTAGTTTCAAACTGCTGACCCTGAGGTTAGCAGCCCAATTCGTGACCACTATGTTACTAGAACTCCTTCTAATGTGGTATGGGGGAGGTAAATTCAAAAGTAATACTGAGGGTACTCTAGGCCAGTTAGGAAACTTCACAATGGATGAATGTAGAGGTCTAACTGCATATGCTATGCCTTTGCTTATTCACAGCCATGACGGACCCCAACAAGATGATCATCAACTTGGCCCTTTTTGGCATGACTCAGAGTGGAAAAAGTTCTGCTGGGAACATTATTCTGGGAAGCAATGACTTCCACAGCAACTTTTCTCCATGTTCTGTAACAAAAGATTGTTGCCTGGCCCGCAGTTATCACCTTCACAACTTCATGCGCAGAGGGGGTCAAGAAATAACCCTGCAGGTCCGGGTGTTAGACACCCCAGGCTATCCACACAGCAGCCTGAGCAACAAGCATGTGAAAGAGAAGGTCAAAGAGGCCCTGATACATCATTTCGGAAAAGATGGTCTCCACCTGGCTCTGCTGATACAGAGAGCAGACATGCCTCTCTGTGGACAGGAAGCATCCCCCCACGTCCAGATGATTCAGGTAATTTAAAAAGGCAAAGTCACTAATGCCACTCTTCTCATTTGACGGATAGTATCCTGATAGTTAAAGGAGCTCTGGTAGCATAGTGGTTACAAATCGGGCTGTGAACCACAAGATCACCAGTTCAAAACTACCAGCTGTTCCGCGGAAGAAAGATGAGGCTTTCTGCTCCCGTAAAGATTTACAGCCTCGGAAACCCTGTACAGGGTCACTATGAGTCGGAACTGACTCCACGGCACATAACAACAACAACAACAACATCCTGATAGTTGATGTTATTTGCCATCAAGTTGGCTCTGACTCATGGCAACTTTATATATAAAACAACAAAACTTTGCTTGGTCTTGTACCATCCGCATTGGACTGACTGCTAACCACAATGTCAGCAGTAACCCACCAACAACTCCATGGGAGAAAGATGAAGCTATCTGTTCCCGTAAAGATTTACAGTTTCAGAAACTCTATATAGGGCTGCTGTAAGTCAGAATTTACTCAATGCAATGGGTTAATTTTGGGCTTAGGTGTCATCCTTATGGTAATTGATGTATTTGATTGGATCAATTGTGTTAATACATCTCATTGAAAACTTCCATTATTTTTGCTTGCCTTTAGTTTACAGACATTATGTCATTTGCTAGCAATTGGTCTTTTCTACTGACGTGTCCAAAGTAAGTAAGTCAAAGTCTCATTACAAGAAAATGTAAAGTACACAGTGTTGTTCACATGGAAATAGCAGTAAAGATTACACATGAGTTTCTCACCAAGAATCACTGTTACAACTTCCCTTAGGATGTCAGTCATTTTATAACTGGATCATTATCAAAACTAGGTACAAAACTTCAGGGGTTCCCTGTGTCTCAGTCTTTTGAGAAATGAAAACCTGAATATGGTAGTAAAATATAGACCCCAAACAATTGTATAAGAATCACCTGGAATGCTTATTAAAGATTTAGATTCATTCAGACCTACTGAAAGAAAATCCTAGAATCCTGGAAATTATTGTTGTTAAGTGCCTTCAAGTCATTTCCAACTCTTACTAAAACTCTACAGAATTTCCAAGGAGTGGCTGATGACTTGGAAGCACCGTCCTTGTGGTTCAAACTAACTTTGTGGTTCAGTGCTTATCCTACAGTGCCACATTTTAATAAACTTTCCACATGATTCTTTGAGTACTTACATAGAGTTTAATGATTGGTGAATAAGACATAGGCCTAAAAAAGTTTATAATCTACAAGAAGCAAACAAGCAAACAAAAACTGATAAGAATTGATTTAAAAAAAAAAAAAATCTAATACAGATTATTAAGTATCAAAGTAGTGTAATATTTTTGTTATGCGCGATAGAGTCGGTTCCAACTCACAGTGACCCTGTATACAGTTTCTGAGAGCAACAGGTGGGTTTGAAGTGCTGACTTTGTGGATACCAGCCAGTGTTTATCCTACAGTCAGAAGACGGAAAAGAAAGGCATCACTAAGGCTTACAGCATGGTAAACTTTCAGGAGATATTTGAGCTTTACTTGAAGGGGAGAAATCAGGATTTCCAGTACTATGCTTTCCTCACCATCTCTAGGGTTAGTAGCTCCTCCATTCCATCCATGAGAAGACTACAGGAACTTCAGGATGAACAAAAATAAATATGCCACTTTTGTATGAATCTCCATCCAGTTTTTCCTTTATTGTAAGTTGCTATGTTGAATATTTATTCAACCAGTTATGAGAAGAGTTGAACAGAGATGAAAGGTTCTGGTTATGCCCAGAGCTAGGAGATGGAGGATAAATGTGTGTTTGCATGCACATGTGTGTATGTATTTATTATTGTTGTTAGTTGCCATTGACTTGAGTCCATCCCATTACAACACTGTGTACAACAGGAACACAACACACCATTCTGTTCCATCTCCACGATCATTGGTATGCTGAAGTCTACTATGTATTTTGAGTGACTTTCAACTTAGGGGGATCATCTGCCAGCACCTTATTAGATACTATACTGTTGTGGTACATAGGATTTTCACTGCTCAATTTTTTGTTGGTTGTTTTTGCTTTTTTAAAAAAGTTTTTATTGTGAATTGAGTGATAGTTTACATGGGAGAACATCAATTTTATGTTCATTTCATTGCAATGATTACAATCTCCTCTATGCATCATCATTCAACAGTGTTTGCTTCTATTTTGTTGTTTTTTGTTTGTTTGTTTGTTTTTTGTATTTCTTGGGGGGATTGTTCACAAAAACACTCAGGAATCTATAATCATTTAAACAATCAAAGGGTGCATTCTGCAAGTCTGCCTCCTGGCTACCAGCACACAGCCTTTCTCTTTCCATGAGTTTAGAGTCCTCAGCTGCTCTATCTCTCCAGGTCCTCATCTTTGCTTCCATCTCTGGTGTCGCTGCTTCTCTGGATATGGTCCCACATTCCACTCATGTTCACTTCCCTTGATGGTCCTGGACAGTAAAATTGACTACTCCCCCCTTTTTTGTTACAAAACTTCTTCTTTTACAGTTGTGACAGTCGCAAGTAGTCATGATAACAACTCTTCACTATTGAATCATAAGAATTTTACTACCACCTCCTTTACCAGATCCATCTAGTTGTTGTTGTTGTTGTCAGGTGCCATTGATTCGGAACCGACTCATAGCTACGCCATGCACAGCAGAACGAAACAATGTCCGATCCTGGGCCAACCTCACTACCGCTGCCACACTTGAGTCCATCAATGATGCCAGCTGGCCAATCCATCTCATTGGGAGTCTTCCTCTGTTTCTCTGACCCTCCATCTTACCAAACATGATATCCTTCTCCAGCCACTGTTCCCTCCTGACAATATGTCCAAAGTATGAGAGACGAAGTTTTGTCATCTTGGCCTCTAAGGAGCACTCTGGCTGCACTTCTTCCAAAACAGATCTATTGGTTCTTTTGGCAGCCCATAGCACTTTTAGTATTCTCCTCCAACACCACAATTCAAAGGCATCAATTCTTTTACAATCTTCCTTATTAACTGTCCAGCTTTCGCATCCATATGAGGTTATTGAAAATACCATGGCTTGGGTCAGGCGCACCTTAGTCCTCAAGCTGACGTCTTTGTTCTTCAACACTCTAAAAAGTTCCTGTGCAGCAGATTTGCCTAATGCAATATATCGTCTGATCTCCTGACTGCTGCTTCTGTGAATGTTGATAGTTGATCCTAGAAGAATGAAGTCCTTGACAACTTCAATCTTTTCTCTGTTGATAAGAATGTTGTTGTTTATTGGTCCTGTGGTGAGGATTTTTGTTTTCTTTACATTGAGATGTAATCCATCTCGAAGGCTGTGCTCTTTGATCTTCATCAGCAAATGTTTTAAGTCCTCTTCACTTTCAGCAAGCAAGGTTGTATCATCTGCATATCACAGGTTGTTAATGAGTCTTCCTCCAATCCTGATGCCACGTTTTTCTTCATAGAACCCAGCTTCTCATATTATTTGCTCAGCATACAGGTTGAATAAGTATGGTGAAATAACACAACCTTGTCGCACACCTTTCCCAATTTTAAAACATTCAGTGTTCCCATGCTCTGTTTGAACATCTAGACAAGATGAAAACTATTCAGTGGGGATTTTACCTTCGCCTGTACACTCTGAACTAAGCTTCCTCTTGAAACCTTGTAAGCTAGTCAGTTCATGCCTTTATAGCCTCCCATTTTAGGTAGTCAATGTCTAAGTTGTCCATGCCTATCAACCTTGTATACAGAGGGGATAGGATTGATCCTTGATGTGAAGACTCCTTCCCTCTCAGTTGGTATTTTGAGCTACTACATCCATAAGTATAGGTCAAGTTCATCAAATTGTAGTAATTTACACTTGTTTGCTTTATCAAAAACTTTTTATCTTTCTCTAGTGGAGTTCTGATCATCAAGCCATCAAGGCTATGTAGAATGGGTACTATCTACAAGTTTGGGTATTCTTGAGTGTCTCCCTTCACTTCATATCAACTGGACGCTTCACTCTCAGTTCTATGTCCATGGCTATATCCTTGTCCATGGGCTTAGGAGTTCCTACGTCTCATCACACTTTGGACCAAACAGCCGTTCCTCTCATCTCTCACATCTCCTGGTCAATAGGAGTCTATGGACTGTGGTTGAACTCAGCCCATATCTTCATTGCTGCCTTTCCCCTTCTTCCACTCACCAGTTCACCAATGTGGTTGCCAGCAAGCTTACATGCCTGCTCATGTGTTCTCTTTGAGTTTCAGTCTTAAAGGGAGGTTTGTCCTAAAGGGACTTGATTGCTTGCCTTGATGGTTCCCCCGTGAACAACTTGTTTGTTCCTGTAGTATCACTGGCTAATTTTTGAAAGTAGATAACCAGGTAGTCTATTCTGTCTTAATCTGAAAACAATGTGTTTTGTTTTGTTTTTTTAAATACCAATGGTATAGCTTCCAGCATTATGCACACACAAGTATAACAGACTGAGGGATGGGTAATGAATATATATATAAGGGGGTTTCAAAAAGTTCATGGAAAACTGAAATTAAAAGATAAAAGAATTTTTCCATGAACTGTTTGAAGACCCCTTTTATGTGTGTGTGTGTACATATAAAGATATATATAACCTTGTATAGGGTTTTCAAGAAGAAGCTAGTGAATTTGAACTACTGATTTTGTGTTTCAAACCACTCTTGCAGTCCAGTGCTTATCCTAAGGTGCCACACCAGGACTACACATACTCTCTCTATATATATCTATGCATCTATGTATCTATATCTATATCTATAGGCACTTAACAACATGGAATATATATATATATAGATTATGGCACTTAACAACATGGAATATATATATAGATTATGACCAAAGATCCATCCTGGAAGCTGTTAATTTTATTCACTTTCTTGATTCTCTAGCCTGGGGCTAATGAATTTTAAGAAAACTCATGTCTATTATAAGTTCCATAGGCAAACTATGTGGAAAACAAGCAGCACATTTTTCATTTTAGATGAATTTCTGCCTGTGCTGCTTTTCTTTTG